CAAATTTGATTTTGCTGTTGAGAAGCACCAGTATCAGTATCAGTGTGCAGTGTAGAGATAGAAAGAAGGGTCGTGACCGGATTCTTGCCACATAGCTTGCGCGCTGCGAAAACTCTGTTGATGGACTCGGTTGAAAACAGAAAAATAAACATCCCAGGGTTGGCTTTCAGCATCATGTTGCTTTCCACTGGTTACAATTTCAATGTAATTCATCAATGTATCTCTCATGTGTTTGACCAATATTTGCTCAGGACATGCACCCAGACACACTCACGAGCTGTAGCAATTTGGCTTCTTTGTTGCCCAAGCCTCAGTTGTTGCAAGTCGGATGGGGCCGTGCCATCGGCGGCTCACGGTGCATCCAAACAGAGTAACCCCTGTGTCAATATTTGTGTGGCTACAAGTCGCCAAGGTAGCCAAGTATATGGCTCGAACATGCAGATGGTGTGTTCGTATTTTCGCAGCTGTGGTTGGTTGTTTCGCATGTAATGTTGAGTGGATTCCGAATCACTGAGTCAGAAGAATGCACATCATGTATGAGTCTTCTTCCGACTGATCCGTGCGGATGGAGCGTTTATTGGAGCGTGAACAGGGCGGTGGTTGACGAGATGGGCCATCGAATCCTGTCGGTTTCTTCTCATCCCGCCTAGCGTTCCTCATAAGGCATGCCATGAGTCAGCTGGAAGAGGCAAGAACTTCAAGAACCGACACAACAGCAACTGAGTCGAGCTGAGTTGCAAGAGGGACCAAAATCAGCCTCTCACAGTCAGAATAGAATCAGGTGCCATTTGTTGAAGGAAAGGGAGAGGATTCTTTCAGTGTATATAAACATATATACTTATTTAAGTATCTGATCTAATCTGAAGTCTTCCTTTTCACCGGTACATCATGATAGATCATAACAGATTACACAATACTGTACATCACTAATTACACATGAATCATTTGCCGCGGTACATTTGCCGGTCAGGCGGAGGAGCTGATGAACGAAGCTTTAGTGGGCCGAAGGTCCTTGCGTCTCGAATGAACACTGGAGCGGATCCTGGAGCTTGGAGCAATGGATAGGGATCCTCTTTAGCAATGGGCCTTCTAGAAAGCACCCGTGTGCTTTGGAAGTTAGTTGAGATCACTTGAACCTGGTGGTCACTTGTGATCATTTTCTCACATGTACTTACCTTTTGTAAGCTGAAGACGTACATGTTCACGCCTCCAACCGACCCTCGCAGCGACGTTTGTTCCTGTTTATGCACACGTGTCGGATTCTTTCAGCATCAACAATACATCTTTGCCCCGAAGAAGCTCTCATCTCTTTCACCTTCTCATATAAGCCTGATGTGGATCCTAAGAAGATGCAAGGACATTGACAAAAGCTATGTAGCACATGTAGCTGCTTGGCGCAGCGAAGGAGCCACCGGGCACTTACGATATCGGACGGATTTGCTTTTGACGAAGAAGAAGTAGGCTGGTTCTGAACACCAGGTGAGCTACGCCGAAACACGCTCGGCCCTGGGTGTTGCGAAAAGCGCCCCCGTGTCTCCTGCCATGTGTTCTTCTGAGGCTGGGGAATCTGCACAAAGACACCTTGACCTCGCTCAACAACCTCGCAGGGCGACCGGGGGCGAGCGGTGGCGACGACCAGTATTAGCTTGAGCGGAGCGGCGAGTCAAGTTAGACAGGAAGGACTGCAAGGCTACTTTGTTTATGTGAACGGGATGTGCACCTGAATAAACAGGCTTAAGTTCCTACTATTCTACATGACTTTGGTCTAGGCAGAGTGCTGGTTTACCGCAGCAGACCGCAACCCAGTTGCTGGCTCCGCTTCACTGTTTTCGGACAAGGACTGTTGTTGTGTAGTAACTACTGTATAGTATGCTGGGAAGTCTCTCCAGTGGACTCCAGATTCCGGTAGTTTTGCCTATCATCTTCAATCGTCGTGGCCACCATCATCACCATGACTAGCATGTTCCCCAATACCAGCATCAACGTCAACGTCCTCATCATCACCACAACCACCAAGAACTGCAACAAACACCTAGCACCCGCCAAGAACGGCAGGTTGTTACGGACTCGTGGGAAGCATGATGAAGCCGAGACCCTCTATGAAGAGGCCCAGACGTTGGATTCGCTCCATGACACACGTTTGCGTCGTGGCTAGTCAGAATGCATCAGGTGTTCTTTCTTTCTTTCTTAGACAATGTTTTAAAGTTTTGTGTTTTTGGTTGAGGGATTTTTCTTTTAAACTACACGTTGAATTCAACGTCACTGAGCGTCCGATTGTCAAGCCCCACCACATATCTTGAACTTTCAGCATCTTGGGAGGTACAGGACTTCCATGTTTCTAGCTGGATATGACCCTTGCATGGAAGATGGTTGACAGAGCCCCCGGTGTGGAGATCGTTTCAAGTTGTTTCTAGTAATGACAGTGTTTGCTTCCAGTATCGGACAGTCTACATAAGTCATCTAGATTGATGGAACTGGTTCTGAAAAGAGAACACATTGTTTCTATTGTTTGTATTAGTTTTGTATTTGGGAAACAAAATGACAAAGGATTACTGTAATTAATGTTCCAGATATTTCAATATTAATACAATTTATTCATATCTATTCCGATATATAGTCCAATTAGTACCTCAGTCGCCGCAGTATGAGGTGTGCTTCATGATCATTATACACACAAGGCGGTTTCATGGCGCCAATCCTGATTGGCTTGATAAGACTTGAGGTCTTTGCTCCAAAGGCCGAGGCCGGCAACACCCAACACATGGGCTGGAAAGCACATGGTACCCAGACTCGGACACGTTCGACTGCTCAGGCCTTGCGGGGGAGGAAGGAACTGCTGGGAAGTGCTCACATGGATACCTTGATGACGGCCAACAACTACGGCCGCTCGAAAAGAGGGTACCTTCGTGTTGGTGGATGATTTGGATGTGCAGCAGTGCTAGACGGAGGGGCGGTGCTTTCATGTGGTGCAGCAATTTGGAAAAAAACTAGAAAAGAAATGAAAAGAGGTAGAACACGGTAGAGGTAGAGATAAATCATGAAGTGAACATGTTCAAGCGCTGCATGTTGTTTGCTTCAGAACTTCAGAGTTGAGTGGAACATCAAAATATTTGGTTGTGCTGGTGTGTTTGTGGAGGAGGCTAGTTGAGCTGAGTAGGGAATGAGGGAGATAGGATACAGCCAGCCTCATTCCAGTCACCAGTCACACCAGTCAGACTCAGTCAGCCAGCCAAGCACACAGGCTCAGGCTCGGCTTGGACATGTGTTGGCACCTCTTCCCCGGTCTCCACACTACTTCGCCGAACGCAACTCGTTTCGAAGCCAAAGAATGCCACCCGAAAACCACGGCGGGTTTCCCCACGCAGCGAAGCCCCAGAGCCGGGGGTTGGTGGACCACCTCAGGTCTATGCCTCATGAGCCGAGGCCACAACCCGAAACGCGCGATGAACGGTTCTACAGCGTTGAAACGAACGTGTCGACCCGCGCGCTCGACAGGGAACGCGTGTTCTTTGCTTCTTCCCTTTTGGGCGCAGGATGGCGCAGGTGTAAAGTGTCTAAATAGGGAGACCCTCAACCCAATGGGTTCACTGGTTTATAGTCTATTGATTTTCCTTCTTCCAGGGGGGTCCTTTGGAGGTCTCTATATTGAATAGCCATGTCTTCCCGGCCCTCGGACGGCTTTTCATCGATATGTCTTCCCACGAAGGCTTCCCAGTGGGTGGGCTTTTGGGCACTCCAAGGAAGTCAGGAGCGCTTGGACTTCAGTCGACGATCGAGAAACCGAAGTGCGAGAAGTGCTGGGTTTGGACTTGGCCGGTGTGAACTATGGCCATGAGAGGACCAGTTTGAAGCTGCCATGCTGATAGTGTCCTGGAGTTGTCAATAATTAGTTGGAATGCCTTGGGTGTATGAGGGCCAACCTTCAACAATCCAAATCAAAACACACCATTCCAAACCAGCCGGAAACACTAAGCTTGACCGGTTCAAGTGCCGAAACGTCTGAAACCCTTCGACCGTTCAGGTTTATGGCCCCAGGCGGAAGAAATGTTCAAAGAGGTCCTTGAGCATTGCCGGGACATGCTGGGCGCCTGGAGCCCCAGGTCCACGTCGCGGCACGGGTGCGGGGCGAACGGGCTCCTAAGTGTTTTCCGGTGCGGGGCGAACGGTGTGTTTGGTGCCCCTTAATGAATCTGGAATGAAAGAATGTATAACTTAATGTGTTTTGTTGTTCATTTTTTTTAAATTCTCTCATGTGAGAAAAACAATGAACATTAACATGTGTCATTCAACGTTTCAATGTCTTCATGTTCTGATGCGTCCCGTTTCGATCGTTTCGCTGGAGGAACAGCACTCCTACACCTTGACGGTGGCCAACAGCTTGGGCTCCTTGCTGCACGAGGCGCCGCTGGTATGTTGTCCTCTTGCACAGCACCAGAAACCATGCTGGAACACATGGAAACTGTATACTTGATCTCAGAGAAAAACAAAAAGGAATGTTTTTTTGCAAGACCTTTAGGTATTTTTGATGATTCTTGTGGTGTTCTACTTCTGCCTCACATGGGGCGATGCCTCGATTGGACCGGCCCCAGATGAGCAGCTTCAAAAACCTCTATGATGGAAAGTGTGCAAACTGTAATCTCACATTCTTTCGCGAAAGCCAAAACGCAGGTCGCGAAAGGTTCGCGAAAGCCCCGCGAAAGAACCCCAGAAGAACAGCGTCGCGAAAGCTTTCGCGAAAGTCGAATTTCTTGTGCATGTCGTGTTGTTTATGTGGGTGACCATATTTTTATGCAGGCAGCCGCAGCAGGCCAGCCAGCCAGCCAGCCAGCCGCAGCACACCAGCCAGCAGCAGCAGCAGCGCTGAAGAGCAAGTGTTTCAGGGGAAAATCGAAAAGCCCAGACGAATTTCCGCGAAACCCGCGCGAAAGCCTCGCGAAAGAACCGCGAAAGTCGAAAATATCCGGGAAAGGTATCTGGCCCCAGCAAAAAGTTTCAGCAAGTTTTCCTCCTCTTCTGATGACAACAATTATGCTTGAACGGTGCTGCTACAACTCCTTGTGCCAGGATGTTGCCGGAAAGAAATTTGTTCAGTTTTGACCACCCTAAGGACACTTATATCGGATAACTTATATAGATCAATCACTTTATTGTACAATATCCCAATCGAATGTCCCAATCGAAAACGAATCGCCGCGAAAGCCGCCGCGAAAGCCGCCGCGAAAGCCCCACATAACACCACACCTTCCGCGAAAGCCAGAATGCAGGCCGCGAAAGCTCCGCGAAAGCTTTGCGAAAGCAAACCTGGATTATACAAAAAAGTAATAGGGGTTTTCGAAGCTGCTCAGATGTTTTCACCACCGATGTTTCAGATAGATACTCATCCCTGGAATTGGAAGTGGGACATCCATTGGGTCTGTAGTGGATGGAACATGGTCTTCCTGATAGGCCATTCTCCACGTCACCATGTGAGTTCCAGAGAGAAGAAACACATCCTGCACCGAAGACCGGCCTGTCGATCGGAGAACCAGAGGCCGAGCGCTATGAAGAGGCTGAGCCACTCCTCAGAGAGGCCCGGACCGCATCGGACCCAGGTTAACGTGTTCCAGTGCCGATTTCAGAGTACTATCTGATAGATGCTTATATAGAGTGTTTCACGATGTTTCTTCAATCTACCGGTAGGGATCGGTGTTACTTTACTTAAGACCCGGACTGTTCTATTTTGTTTTAAGATCACTGCGTTGAAATCCTCGTCTCTTGGAGGCGGTGCCCGGTGAGGCACCAGTGCCGTCGACCTGGTGACCAACCATACATGCCTCGGCATGGGTCAACACCGAAACGGCCCGGGTTGTATCATGGAACATGGATATGAACAGATTCCTCTTAGCATGTCAACCCACCATATAGTTTGGTGGGAGGTGAAACACCACTCGCAGCCACATGGTGATCGGAAGATTCTGATGAAGTCCTTTAATCCTCCCCTTGGAGGTTCTGTAAGGCATCTAAGTTAATTTAGCTTGTTTTTGGGTGAAGAATGGCCGTTTCTTTTTTGAGATTCTTGACAGACGTGCAGGGTCCAATGCTGGAAGTGTCACCATACCGTTCAGCCTTCAGGCTCTTCCAGGCCACTCGCCTTCCCGTCCTACCGAGAGTCGAGTCCGCGAGACGCTTGGCATCTCCAGGTCTTGTCCGGACTGCGCGAGCAATTGGGAGACAAGCACCCCGACACCCTCACAGGACCACGATGGTGGCGGACGGCTGGACGGCGATGGGCGGTGGGACGGCCGGCGATGGAGGTCGTTTCCTTGGTGACCAAGACCTGAGCTGGTTCGATTCGGTTCGGTCGACCGCATTCGATGCATTCCCTCGCCATATACGGCCATCAAGAAGAACGGTATGTTTTGTCTCCGGTATATGATGGTATATGCATAACTTGGCTGGGTTTGGATGAGTACGTGACACAGGGCATTGAAAGCTATGCTTTTCATGTGGCTTTTCCAATGCTTTTCCGGTGACCGCACTGTGAAGCGGATTAGCACTATGCCCACTAAGCCAGTCTTGAAGCGGATCCCCAGGTTGTTGTTGCAATCAACTCATCTCATCAAACGGATTGCATCAGCACCATGCAATCTTTTTCACACGGTCCGTTGCAATCAACTCAGTGCTGTCAAGTGGTGAGAACTATGTGCGAACTATATATAATATATAGAACATTTATAGAACTGACTGGTTGACCAACAATTGGCCGCAGTGGGTGATGGCACGTGTCTTTTCTTCGTTTTTCGCGAGTCGCCATGAGTCCCCACGTCCAACATGTCCCATGAAAACAGCTCCGAAGGAGTCCCGGCGGTCCATGAACATGGCCAAAGATGTTTCGCAGCGCATGGGGCACATGCGCCCTAGATCTAGACCATAAAGAGTGAACATGTTCAGAATACTTCAGAATGGTTTGTAGGTAGAATGGGGTCAACTTTTCAAGCTTGTCAAAAGAAGCCACCAAGATCGAAAACACATGAACATGTGTGTTTCAAGCTTGTTTCAGCACTTAGCTAAGAATAAAGAAAACAAGAGACCAAAAATGTGTTCTTTGTTCTGAGCCACTTTGTCTCCAGGCGCGAACAACTTGGCGGTGCTCTTGTACTCCAGGGAAGACTTCACCCAGGCGCCAGTTTCTGCGGAGCTTTGCCGAGCAAGAGGACCGGGGGCACACCAGGACTGGGTTTTCTTGCCAGTCGGTTCCCTTAGCTTTCAAAATTGGGCACGGTCTTCACAGATTTCTGTTTTAGCTTCCCTAGATCTTTTTGTGGCATCTTGTCGAAAAACATGCATCCCATGTTTTTGTCATTTTTTGTTACCAGCTGCCAGCTGCAGAAGCTTTTCATGTGAGGCGGCACAGCTCTTTCACGAAGTCCTTGCAGGGCGGCGCTCGCAGCCAGGGATGCCCAGAAAATTGAAACTATAAGCCACACGAAAAAGGATCATTTTAGCCATAGGGGTCTACTTGATGGGTTTTAGCTATAGTTACTATTAGTTACTCCTTTGTAGGACGGTTGTGTGGTCATAGATGCTTTTTGGTTTCGTGCCGCTTTCCGAGTGGCGCAGACGTGCCATTTGGACATTCTCAAAGCTCAACATGTGGGTCATGACAGCAGGTCTGTAGTGGCCCAAACATACAGAAAGCAGGTTCCCGGGTTCCAGTTCTGTGGGATGCATTGCTTAATTGCTTTCATCTATGTGTGGGTCCCTCGGTCCCTCACTATATCTAATTGCAGCTAACATTTGGTGAAAGAGGATCTAGAGTCAGTTGCTGGGTCCAAACATGAAGTACATGCTGCTTTAAAGCCTGGTTTCTGAAGCGATGGAAACTCCCCACTACTCATTTCTGAGTTTCTGAGAGGGAACAACTGTGCGGTCTGTCAGAGACACCTCTCCAAGCCGTAGACAACAGGAAGGTTCATGGGACCCAACAACACAACCAGTACAACCCTTGTCGGACCGAGCGCGCTCCACCGGTCGCCCAAGACACTGGAGAAAACCAGCGGCCTGGGGCCCACCCCTTTGCAAAAGCTGCCATCATACGGTACCCTCCTCTCCAGGTGAAACCCATCCCCCTTCATCCACCCCCTAGCGCCGGATCCACGTCCACGTCGACGTGGCGCCGGTCCCAGACTGGGTGACAAACACCCGGACACGGCTGCGGCAGCGAAGCACCTGAGCGCGGCGCAGCAAGCGGTGCGCCACTTGCGCGAGGTGCGGGGTGGCGCGGGCGCGGGCGCGCTGGCCGCGTGGGTGCGTGAAGAGATTCGGCATTCATGATATTCATGCGCCTGGCTTGGAAGATACAATGAAGAACAAGAAAAGAAGAACCATACTCCAAGGAACAGTTTCACTGGTCCCCGAAATCGGGCCCTTTCCTGGCAAACTTCTTCTCCAGAGCAGTACGACCTCAGAAGCGAGCTTCGGCTCTCCGCGACAGTCTACGCAGGAGACTTTAGAGCCAGAGAAGCCAGACAAGACCTGGGGAGGCCAGACGTGTTTTCGTTCGTCAACCATTTGGGGGCGGGGGCGTTCGCCTGTTTCTTTTTCAGCCTGTTTTCTTGTCTGGTGCGTTCTCAAGTTTGGGAGATACTCCCACTATCTCCCACTGGTCTTTTTCTTTTGGTCCATTTAGACCAGGAAGTGCGGCGGTTATAATATGTTATAACTATAGTTTAATTCATCATATTTTTGGTCATAGATCGATCCCATGACACTGGAGTGGGATATGATTCGGCACTTGGAGATAAGCTTGGGGTAGGAAATGGTAGGCATTATTTGAGTTCCTCTCCTATTCGTGATAGTGTCACTTGATGTGAAACCAGTCCCATGTGACAGTGATTTGCTGACACCAGTCTGATAAGCTCATATCCTTCAGACGTGCTTTATATGTGATATATAGATACGTGTAGCTGGTGATGATGAGGGGGATTGTCCTTTGTTGAAGTGTTATTTGATGCCTCTCCTTTTCAAGCTTAAGGTCCTTTTGCTTGAAAATTTGTTTGCTTGACGAGCGCCACGCTGGTTGCATAGAAAGCCAACGCAGGTTCCAGAATTGCTTCAAAACCTGAAACACAATACTGATCATACAACACTAATGTAACAAACAATATATATGTTCAGTCAGCTCTGATTGTATGTTGGCTCTTTGATTCTGCTTTGAAATAAGCTTCTCAGACCGATAACACAACGATGACACCTGTCCACTTTGAAATCAGTATGATCGACAGCATTTCTGCAGCGAGAATTGCTGAACAGTGCGATTCAAATGCCTCTTTGATGAATCCGCAGGTTGACAGCCTTGTTACCAAGAGTGCAGACATCAGTTAGAGATGTCAAACATTGTCAAAACCCTGCAACACAGTAAAACATGCTGCACATTGCCCGAGCACTTTGAAACGATCAGAACAAAACCATCAACATTGGTTGGTGGAACAGTGTTTTTCAACGTTTCCTTGAACCCCTCAGATGTTTATTCAACGAAAACTGGCGCATGGAGACTTCACAACCAAACAGTCAGTGGAAACCTGGACACCATCCATATCCAGTTCAGCGGAAAGCCGTTCTATCGACAGTTCCTCTAGAACTGTTCTACCAATAGCCACGGATACAGTACCCCCAGGGTTGTAAAGGCAAAACCGGAGCACCATGTTGAAGAATCAGCAAGACCTTTTGAGTCCCGAACTCCTCCCCTTAACACTGCCTCCGACCCCGACCCCTGAAACTGAGGTTGACACCCAGTACTTAGCGATGGTGATGTTTTGCAGGAAAACGTGTTCCTGCATCCACTCCTTGCTGTAAGTTCCAGGCATGGCCTTCCTTTCTGGATGCAACGTATGCAGCAGCAGCGCATGAGTTTGCAGGACAACTGGGGTGTGGGAGCTGTTGAATTGTTTTGCATTGTTTTTGTTCAGAAAGGCTCGGTGCTTTTCACAGTTACGACTTGACCATCTGCTGTGGAAGCTGCTGTAGACCAGGTGATGTTAGGAAGGTGCACCCAGTGAAACACCAAGACATGACGTGTTGTGCTTTTTGAATCGATTTGGGTCTCAAAAATATTGACACTTACATCTATAGTATACATATAGGTGGATGTACACTGATGATAGCTGATGCAATTGCTGTTTTGAGGTCTTTGCAAAGCACCGGTCACCTCAAGCGAGGCCAATTCGATAGTTCACCTGCCCCGAGTTAAGGTCCCAAGGTCAAGGAACATGACATAGAGTCATAGAGAGGCAAGACATCTTCTGCATACACATGACCCCATGGAAGACCAATGTTCTTCTACAAAGATTGCAAAGAGGTATCTTGCGTGAAGTCTTCCCCAGTCCTTCAGACCGCCGTCCGGTTTCACATCAATCCCAGACCTGCAAGGAGAAGAGCACCGACCACCGATGCCTGAGTTGTGCCGTCGTCGATGTCTTGAACAGTTGAACTCACACCGAAAGAATCCAACCGATTGACGAGGGTTTGACTCAATGATGGTGAAGACCACGAATTCTCTGATGAGTTCTTGTGTTCAGCTTTGTTTGGGCTAGACTCACAGTTTTTGAGGTTCTGGGATGATCTGGGTATATTGCTCATGAACTGCACAGAAGTTGGCAAGGCATCCGCTCAAACTGCTTCAGACATGACATCCTTGGTTCCTTCTCATTTTCCAGCAGCTTGACCAAAGGGCCAAGTTGCACCCTGAGGAGGGGAGTGCTCGTTCGAATCTGTAACACAGCAACGTATTGGCCGGATTGCACAGTGCCTACTGTAATCCTTGTTGCCATGGGTGCCCATCCAGGACTTGCATCCAGGACTGCCTTTGTAGTTCACCTGCTTTCACGATGCCAATTCTCACGCCAGGCGTGATCCTCAACAGAATGGGTCATGTTCATTCACTTTCATCCAGTTTTATGTTGACGAATCCCGTTGGACAACCACCACGTGAAGCACACAAAGCACTTTCGCAACCCCCGAAGAACCCTGCGATGCATGGGTTCGCTGCTAACGAGCTAACGCTGCTGGCTGGCGAGGAACGCGAGGGTGAGATGCACCGAGCCTTGTTTCTGGGACAGAGAGCATCCTGTCCTGCTTTAACAGATGTTCAAATGGGTGTGTATCAAAATAGGGAGACCACCCAGTTCGACCCCATGGAAGAAGGGACATAATTGGACCAAAACCCATTGGCTGTAGGTCTCCCTATCTTGGTACACGCCCAGTTGAACATGTTTAAACTGGATGCTCCCTCTTGCAGCCCTAACTTCCAAGAAAGGATTTCCAGGCTTTAGTTTGGTACAACACCAGCGGACTGCCAAGGAGCACACGATAGGAGAACTTGAGTATCCATCTTGAAGAAAATCGTTTACTTAGACTTAGACCCCTGTTGGGTTTGGGTACAGGGCTTGGAACACAAATGGTGAAAAAAAAGGAAGACCATTCTCCATGAGAGTCCAGTTTGGGTCGAATTTGCCCATCCCGCTCAACGTGCTCAACAGGATTGGTAACTGGTAAAGAGGATCACAGCTTACTGAGCTTACTGTAGACGAGAATTCTTTTTGATGGCCAAGCCATTTCCGGGGCTTTTTTGGGTTTGCACCTAGATGCAGCGGTTTGGGTGATGAATTCGAGCCCAGCCATTCGGGAGATTCGGGAGACTGTCTCTCAAACATTGGTTGGTTTCTGCTCCATCTTCGAACACTCGGACAGACCGCAGGGCAACCAGACCCGGTGTTTCGCACCAAACCGGGAGTGGAAAAACTGGCTTTTGCAGACCTTCCCGGCATGAAAAGACATCGCACGACTTGCCACACCAACGGTTCCAAAGGCTCAAGTTGAACTCCCCATCATTCCATCCTATTTGAGTTGGTCGATGGTGTAGAAGCTCCAGGTACTCCAACCGCACGTCACCGCCTCATGACACCCACCCACCGCCTCGTCACCGCCCAGCCACGCATGTCCCCGCGGACGATTTCACCCCCGCTCAAACGAGCGGAGAAAAATCCGTGCCGACGACGGCGTGAAAAAAAAGTGGCGGAGTGGATCCGCCGACGACGGCGTTTGTTCCAGTCACATGACCTGGGGATCCTCAAAACCCCGAAACGCCGGCTATGTGTGGCCCTCAGATATCACATGCCAGCACCGCAGGCTGGCAGCCTGGCGGCGTGCTGCCTGTTTGCTGGTAAGATCTTCTAAGTCTGTGGCAGAGGGTGAAGTCCCGCTTCTAAGTTTGTGACATATCTTCCAGCCGCGGGATCCCACCTTCTAATGTTGTTTTGGAATATTCGCTTGTTGCCTGGAAAGATATATTTGGTGGTGTGATTCTGAAGGGCTGGACAAATGTCTGCGAAAACGGACGCCAAGCAACATTCCACCAGCCTCTATGCTGGATGATGTGTTAAAACAGACACCAGTCTTGATGCCAGAAACATGTTAGAATATTACGTCAACGCACATGTCAGGCAGCGTTTGTCAGGACAATGTCACTACATGTGCCCTGCCTTCTTCCAAATCACTTTCAGGGTGGGGATCACTCGATCCAAAATGATAGAGTGCGGTGCTAGAAGACATCACCCAAACAACGGGTAATGGCACTTTGCACTCTTTGATCTCAGCAGGGAATGCTTGGCCACTGCCACTACGGCAGTGAAAGGGACCGTATCACCAGTTAGAGATTAATTAACCAATCGTTTTATATACCACCTATATACATAGATTTCGATGGCCAACCAATAATCCAACCATATCCAACCAACCTCCTTCCAGCCAGCCATTCAACCTGAGTTCCCCCGATCGAGTCTATCCCACTCGAACGCGACGGTCGGTCGAACCCCGCCCGGAACGCGACGGAACTCGGTCGACTCCGAGCGCGGTCCTTTTCGCCCGAACGCGTTCGGTCGAAGCCGAAAAGCGGAAGCGGAGCTGAGCTGGCGAGGTGCGATGCCTTGGCATCTGAATCTTGCGACCTTGGTCATCATCCTCCACCCTAGTAGCGTCATGTAGCGTCCTTGCTCCTAGTAGTGATGCCAAGGGCCCCTAGTAGCTTCTTGTTCCTAGTAGTAAGGCCAGGAGCCCCTAGTAGCGTCCTTGCTCCTAAAAGCATGCACAGGGGCATGGACAAGACACAACAAGACATGCCAAAAGTTGCCGGGGAGGAGGTGGGTCTGATGGTCGTGGCAGGTGGCATACCAGTGTGGGTGAGGCGAGTCCAGAAGAGAAGCTCTAGGAGGCTGTGATGAATTTCCTGCTCCATCATCACACTTCAAGCATGAGTGAGGGAAAATGCCACACATGTTTGCCACAAAATAGGAGCAGCCCTTTGGAAAGCATGGAAAATTTCTGAGAAATAAGTGGTTTCTCGACACTTTGCTCGGAGTGATGGGGCCAAGTTTGGGAGCTCGTCGGACATTTCATATCCCTACAGGTCAAGGTCGACCTCATTTGACTGGATTTGGTGATGCAAAAACACGATACTCAATGAGGTTTTCAGGACCAAGTGAACTTGTAAGGTCTTTTTGATGTGTTGTTTTTTGCATGGGCCCCCGGAGGGGGTAGGACAACTTCATAGGGGCCCAGGATGACCGCAGGTTTCTAGCTTCGCATGTCGTTCGTCTCATGGTCTTACGCAGCCACCAGTGCTCACCACCGGCTCGGTGGCTGGCGCACCCGGGTGCGCATCATGCAGGCGACTGGCACCGGTGTGGCTCAGCTCCCGTCCGTTGCGTCCACGTCCGTGGCGTCGGTCATGGCACCAGGGGCCTCCCAGGGACTCCGTTTTGACTCGAACATGTTGCGACCCTTTTTGAGCAGGTGGAGCAGGCCCCAATTTTGTGTTTGGTTCTTGCGCATTGCCATTTGGTTGCTTGTTGCAAAGGTTGGCCTCAACCATGTTTTTTGTTTTAGTCTTTGCTTGGTATTGGTAAGGAATTCTGAGGCAGGCCTTGGGATGATTGAAACCACTAACATCCGCCGACAAATTGTCGAGTTGAAGTAACCAACCAGCCAGGGTGGTCAGTTAGGTGTTCGAGCACCAGTCAGAACTGCCCAATTCATGCTGGGAGATGCTGGGTTTGTCATGGTCGGTCCTACAGGCTGAGAAGACGTTGCCTGATGCGACCGTGACATTTGGGAACACGAAGCTGGCGCGTGCTCAGGCGCTTTGCACACCCGCAAGACGAGGATGTTTTGGTTGCACTTGAGCAGATTGGATGACTTCGTTCTGTTTCTTTGTTGGTGGGTAAGCTTAGGCAGGACATATACATACAAAAATATATATACAGTAACATCTTCAGGAGGACAAACAATTGGTAGCACTCCAGAATCTAATGAGTCGACCACAGTCGACCTCTAACTGATTCTGGTGGAGGAACTTCCTCCCCAAACTATATATATATGTTTATATAATTTATATACATTTGGGTCGAAACTCCGCCGGAATTCCACTCAAGAGAAGACCACTCATGTGTGCGTCAAACAAAACCGTGACAGCTACTGATAGCATCGGGTGCAAAAAATATGTGACCTGTTGAAAGGGTTTGCCCTTGATGACCAGCGTTCTTGATTGCCAAAGGCTTCAATCTTCGTAATCCCACTCTGGACAAACCCTACATACAAGCATCAAGGACTTCCACATCCTCTATAATATATGCATAATTGTTCTCAAACACTATGTAAGTATTCCAACAAATTGGTAGTCAAGGATTGTCAGGGCCCCCAGATCAACCCCAGCTCAAACAGCTACACCGTTTGAAGATGTATGTGGACACTCGTCACGAATCACAAAAATCCTTGCCGACTGTCGACCTGAAGCTTTGTGCCCGTGAAACCTCTCTGCCCGAGGGTAGGAGGACCGTATGGCACGGTGCTCTCAGCGCTACTGTTTGAGGCACACGTGCATGACATCCATGCCGACAACATGATGTGCCCCGGCAAGAAGCAGAGGGCCAACCCAGGTCGGTATATCGCTCTCAGCTTGCCGGTAGTTCTGAGAACACAAAAAGAAAACACACGTTCTCGGGAACCGCCGTTCTTTCCACAGATTAACGGTATATAGTGCAATCAAAGGCAGTTGGGGGGTTCACTGCTCCAAAGTGCAGTGCACCGTAAGCGTGAAGGAATGGTCTCTTGGGCGGGAACTCCTGCGGACGAAGGTCCTGTCGTCCCAACGGTGCTAGTTCTCCTGGTGCCTCTTCTCCAGATCTTTCCTCATGGTAGTCAGCTTTGGTCGCATTCCCTGGCCTTCCGCAGGGGTCAGAAAGCGTCAGGGGGTGGAGGTCAGCATGCTGAACAAAAACGCGGACACCGCGGACACCGCTCAGTTCCCTTGTTCATGCTTGTTGCGGACGATCCTGAGTATCGACGTAACAATTGCAAATCATTAAACTATATCCAATGGTCCACTATAAGGGGCATATGTTTTTGGTGCGGCAGCCTTCCTGTTCTGAGGGATCTCCATGGTGGAGGAAACAATGCGAGTTGTAATGGTGATTGACAATGACAATCAACGACGCGTGATCTCGAACCCAACGCGACATACAGCATCTGGAGAAAACAACATACACTACTTCGCAACTGATGCGCGACTTGCCAGGCGGCAGCAGCATCGTGCCATGACGGGGTCCATCTATGGCCACCCCACGGACAGGGGCTGACCGGGTCAGGGAGGTTTCCCTCCACGTTCCATGGAAGTGGATGGTCATGTTTGTCATCCTTTGAACTCTTCTCTAAGACGAACAGGGGGTGAATTCCACTTCTAATTATGTGAGTGAATTGGAGTATAGGTGCTTTTGAAGGGTCAAGCCACTTCTGGGTCGAAACGTCCCGCAGAATGCATGGCAAACAGAACATGGTTCAAGCCACAAAGTGAGGGCTTGCATCCCGGGCAACCAATGTTCAGAGTTTCGATCAGGTTTGGCTTGTATTGGACTTGACATGGCATGGGAACTGGCTGCAACTGGCACGCCACTTGCTCCGGGTCCATGAGCAAATTGGAGCAACTTCTGGGTGAAAAGCAGGAATCCCCGCCAAACCCCTGGTTGCGCCGGTTTGGTGACCTCACCGGTCTGGTCCCGTTTTCGCTCCAGAGGCGTCTTTGGAGGTGAAGGAATTCTCAAGCTTCGTCGCTTTCCCAGGAAGTATATCCAATCTTGGACTAAAGAACATGGGCTCCTTGGGATATCTTGGGACGGCTCGGGAGATGGATCCACATGCTCTTTCGCTCGCTCCAGGACCCGTGGATTTCCATCCCCCCCGCGGTCCCCAAACAGGGTGACCTTCGTTGAACGAATCCGGAGCCGTCTCTCACTTTGGAGGATCGAACAGCGATCATCCTGGATATATCTGGATCATTTCTGGATCACTGCTCTAAGAGTGTTCCCATGTTTAAACATGTTTCAACAAAGCGCTGGAACATCTCCACATCTCCGGGGGACCATGTGTCGACATTGTCGGGCATTGTAGAAATATGTAGCCACTTGACATTTGCTGAGACCTGATTCTCTTGAGCATTTATGACTATTTATGAACATTATTCTAGTGCAGTCCACACCCCAAAAGACACCTCGGCATTGCACCTTGGGTACAACTCAAAAACGACTCAAACCCACGGCTAGGTCCAAAAAAACACAGTTCGTTTGCTCTTCTCCAGAAAAAATGAGAAGACATTTGTGGGTCCGCCTGCGTCAGTGTTCTTGCTGTGTCGTTGGATGCGTTCGGGATGGTGTCGGATGGTACCGACAGCACCACGGAAGGGGTGGTTATTGGATGGAACATAATTGGTCAGGGTCTCCATCAACCCCTGCCACTCCATGGTCCTGGTACAGTTCAATGATCGTCCCTTCGAGGTGCCTTTCCAGTCCTTCCTTTCGGCTGATTCAGGACCTGGGCGCCAGCACCGTGGCGCTCCGCGCTTCGCGCCAAGGGCTCTCGGCGCCGCTCATGGCGGCAGGCGGGTGGGGTGTTTCGCACGCACACTCCAGTGCAAGCACCTGGGTGAGAGGCCTGGTAGTCCTTCCAAAGCGATGTGTTATGTGTTTTACTTTCTTGGCGGTGGGTGATGTTTCTGGGAGTTCAGGCTGGAGAGCAGAAACTGCTTTTTGTGTTTTACGTTCCACGATTCCACATGAAGGAGATGACACATGAAGGAGATGAGAGGGAGAGGGAGAGGCGGAAAGGCTTTTTGGCCCGTTGGGGCCGAAGACTGCTCTGGGGTGCTCAGGAGGGAATCAAGAGGATATCAAGGCTTATGAAGGGTTCTCAGCTCAATAGAGTCAGCTTATTTCAGTGAGGATACTGGAAGATACTGGAGACATCTGGAGACATTGGGATTACTTGAAAGGTATCAGACGACACTGGGGGCGCTCTTGGTAGCTGGTGGCACCCATCTCCGCCAGCCGACAGGCGGTGTGCTGGCCAATGCTCCGCGACGGGCAGGGTTTGCTCAGAGTCCAAGGGAGGGGGCCGAGAAAGACCAAAGGCCATTCTTCAGGCCGTGAGACCTTGAGACCTCGATTGCTGATCCACGAACTGGGTTGCCAGGAAGTGCTGCGGAATTGGTTTTGGTTTTCCATCAAGACATGTACCATAGGTGATGGCGGATGGTTCATTCAGCAGCTTTCATTGTTTGCATGCATTCTGAAATCTTTGTAAAGCACAGAATCGGTCATGCCAAAAGTGGTTCGAGATCGAACATCCTTCCATAGCAAGGAAGAGAACCATGGGCCATAGGGGGTTGGGGTTCCATAGGTCCAATACCAGCAGTGTCAATGGTCGTTGAGCCATAGAAATAGCATCAATAAGTATACATCCCCTATAGGTATAGCTTCAACTGTTACCTTCGTTTCGGTTGGAGTGGGTGCCCGCAGGCTTTGTCCTACCTTCTGGGGATGTGGGACCTGACAGCTTACAGTTGACATCAATCATCAGCCGTTCACATCAGTTGATCCGGGACGTGTATTGCAGGTCTCTGCAGGTGCAATGGTAGTTTTGGCCCAACCCCTCCTCTTTAGGCGACAGCAGAAACGAAGGCCAGGGGTAATGGCGACGGTCCCTGCAGGTCTCCGCCGTGCTCAGGCCGTGCCGCCGTCCGCTGACTAAGAGCGGATTCGGCGAGGCCGGCGGAGTCAGAGTCTCAGCGCATCGAGGTCCATCGTCCATCGGATTTGGAACAAACCGAGCGGGTTGGGGGGCTGTGAAAGTCCGGAGCGGAAGATCTGGGATTTGAAGAAGTGGCTGTGTTGAAACAAAGACGTATAGCCATCGTATACTATCTCTCTCATTGTGCGGTCCGGGTGAGACACGACAATGGCATATGTGGCACTATATGCATATATACCATCGTATACAACACGTTTGCGGAGGATTTGCAGGACGGCCCGGTGTAAATCAGCGCAACTGCGAGAGTGGGGATCACGAGGTATGGCCTGATAGAGCTGGTTCCTGCCCGGCCTCTTGATAGGACTCTTGATGCATCCGTCGCTCCCCATTTTGGATGTTACAATTTCATACCAGGATCATCCAATGGTGTCCAACAGACTACCCTACTTATAGGCCAGACAGGGCGCCCAGGAAGTGCTAGTCTATCTTCAGTGTTCCTCCCCACCCTGGAGACCGGATGGTTTGCCAATTCAGCTGGCTTGTGAAAAGGTGGACCTGCCCAATTCAGCTAGCTTCGGACCCATTGAACCCTGGTGGTCAAAGAGAAGGTTTGCCAATTCAAATGTGGTCCGTCAATCATAGACTAGGTGATGGTTTCGGATATGTTTATTTTCAACCCTTACTTGGGGATGATTGGACACCAACCAGTAGGTTATCATGGTCTTGAGTCTTGATATGAATTGCAGTGAGGATGGTTATGTTACCATCCAAGCCGAAAAGAAAGCTTCAGTTCAAATCCTTGACACTACGTTTTACGACTGCCAGAAGTTTGGGTTTGGTTCTTTTTTTGCAATGAGTTGTTCCGTGATTGCAATGGAATGTGGGACTTCGACTTGCACCAACGGATCTTCAAGGTTTCAAGCATGCAGAAAGCGTTTGAAAGCTCCACCTGTTCAAGGAAGTACGGGATCGATTCGATGGCGAACAGATGGATCCCTAAGACCACGGGTATATAGATTGTCCCAGAAGAAGATCACACCTATCAGCCTTCGCCTGGGCCTGAGGGCCGAACCGCCACTGAAGGTGTGATCTTTTCATGGCTTCTTTGTTCCAGCTCGCTTTTCCCAGTGAAAGCGCAGGCCGTTGTGACTATCAGCCTTTGACTGATAGCTGTAGGTCCAAAAGCATGTCTGGAGACATGGAGGATCAGCTCCGGCTTTGCGAATACACCACGTGAAAAGCACTCAACCCAGCAATTGCGGGTCCATCCCAAGGACATACTTGATCAAATTAAATGTCTTAGGCAGAGAACTTTAAGTGGATTTCAACTATACATAGATTCCTATTCTCTGTAAAGCATTTGTGGAGAGCTCTGAAGTTCCAGTTCCCACATACGTTCAGCTCAATATGCTCGTCCAAGGCCTTTGGCAGCCTTGATATGTCTTTTCTCTGAACAAATCTCGGCTCAGTGGTCTTCCAAGTGTGCTGGACAGTTGATTGCTTCCAACTACAGTTTGTTTGAGAACATCGCTCATGCTATGCCTCGGTTCATGTACGATGAAGCAGGACTTGCGAACCTTCTCTCAAGTCAACAGAATCGCTGGTGAGGACGGGAGGAGATTCGGCTCTAAGGATGCATCTCAAAGTGTTTATTTTTGTGTATACTGTATATGTTCAGTTCTAAATATAGTAATCGGCTTCATGTTTTCTGTGTTTGAGGGAGATCAGTTCCCTCCCAATGGCCAATATTGAAACTGCCAAACCACCCATCATTTTTGCAGCTAATTATATATATATACCGCTGTGAATTTCCATATTGGTTTATCAGAGGGTATCCGTGTTGTCCTGCCTCAAAACTTGGGGTTCAGAATCCATTTCAGAAAGACACTCCCTTCGTGCTTTTGGTCGACATCTCTTCTGGCCCAACTGGATGATGCTGGTTGACTTCCAAATGCGCAAATCTGCAGACTGCGTTTCAACAATCCCAATTGAGCTTCGCTCGCCGTTGATCGAGAATCGTGGCGTGGGAAGATGGAAGACAGATAGAAGACCTCGATTCTCCTGAGTTTAACAAACTTCCAAGGATTGGGTGGGCCAGTGCTTGTGCTCAGTCATAGTGAGCTTTTGCCCAGTCATAGTCAGCCAGGCTGACAGCTGAACAGGTCTAGTCCCCAGCTGAACAGTGCTGACAGCCTGACAGCCCCTCCTGACAACAGTCCATCATCACGACAGTCCTCCCATCGTCGCATCATCACATCGTGTCACACACACACACATCATTCGCACACGTTGGGACCCTGGGACCAGGAAGAACCAGGAAGACACGATGTCGGACACCTGCGGCCAGCATCATCCAGTGTTGTAAAAAGTGTGTTTGTCATGGGGCAGTTTTGAGCCTCAAGATCAGTGTCTCACCAATGTGTCGGCGAGGCTTGCGAGAGTGAAATTGCAATCAATCGTTCGAGTTGTTCGACTGATGAACAGCAGCTTACACCAGTGAATTCCTTTTGAAGGCAAGTTTTAGGTTTGTGTATATGTGAACTGGAACCCATTTGATCTTTGTTTTGATAGGAAAAGACCATATTTGGGGTGATTTGTGGTGTTATATATAT